CATTGCTATTATTATTCTGAGTATTTCCCATTATATTTAATGTGTTTCTGCAGATAATGAAATAAATGAGAATAATAAATTATAAAATAACCAAAAATAGATTTCATTTGAATTATTATACTTTATGAAATGATTTTTCCACCTAGACTCCTTGGTTCGTAAATATGAGGGTGTGTGCAAATACACCTTCTGAAGACTGGATTCTGTATGAAGAAATATACAAGTAGATTTTTTTCGTGGAAACTTGAGATGAAGTGTGAATCTGGAATCTATGGATGCCATGATTTCAAATATCATGATAAGGAGACTCTTCTTTCCTCTCCCTCATACAAAAATAATTTCTAGTTCATTAGGAAAAGCATGGGTTAGAAGAGGAAGTTAGCTTCTACCCTGGTCTCCCCAGAGGATGTGGTGAGTTACTCTCTGTGTATTTGGAACAATCTCTAAATAAAAATTCATTGGGCACCCAACCAGAAATGGAAAAGATGGTTTTTGAGGCTCATGTGAACCTGCCTAAAATGCCCTTTTTGGTTATTAAGCATATTTCAATGCCCAGGTCATGCTTGGCACTCTGCTAAGCAGGGAAAGTATCAACTCCTCACATAGAATGGCAATGTCTTTGATCTGGTATTTTAGCCAAAGGAAAATAGATAAAGGAAGGGCAAAAATTTGTGATAGATGGAAAAGGCATAGACAGCTAGATTTTAAAAAGCTTCAGTCATCTTCCAATGAAGAAACGAAGACAAGGTGGTAAGTGGACATCTGTAAGGTATGATATTAGGTTACCTAAGAATGTCTGTTAACCCCTTAGGCATATTTAGTTTTACAGAACGGTAAATCTGGAAGGGATTCGAGGGGAAAAGAGGGAGGTTCTGAGAGTGAAGGTGACTTGCTGAAGGTCAGATAGGTCTTAAGTAGTAAGTATTAGAACCTCTCTGCTACACATAAGGAGCAGAACAGCATAGTAGTAAAGAGCATGAGACTGGAGAAAGATTACTTGGGCCTGAATTCAGTTTCTGCTTTTTAGTAGCTGTGTAACCTTGGGAAAGTCATTTAACCTCTCTATGCCTCAGTTTCCTCATCTGAAAAATGGGGACAATAATATACTCATTTCATACAGTTTTTCTAAGGATTAAATAATGTAATAGATAAAAGGAGAATATGTAAGTGCCTAGGACATAATAAACATTGTTAGAATAAATAATAAATTAAAGCTATTGTTATCATGAATACCACCAGGACAGAAAACCACTCCTACTTCTCCACGTGATACCAAGTCCAATGTATCTTTTTATACTTGTCTGACCAGTTCAGAAAAGTTGAATAAGAACCAAGTCCTTCACGTGAACAAAAGATTACAGTCAATTGAAAATGCTACATCCTGGAGAACATTCTTGAATAGCATAGCATTTTTAGTGCCTTAAATATTATCAGTTGAAGTTGTTATTTAAGTGGAAGTCTATTCAGACTTCTGAAATGCAGGATTTGCCTTTAATGGAAAATAGCTATTTTATCTTAAGTATGAAACCCAGTGACCCTGGCTTGAGTGTGCTCCCCAGAAGCTTCCACTGTATGCTGAGCACAGAATAAAGATATAGATTGAAGCAAATTTATTTCAGATATTATAGATTGGAGGCATAGCTGTGTGTGGAAGTGAGCCATGAAAAATGCAACCTCAACTCTCCCCTTGAACCTATAGTAATTTATCTAGGAAACGTTGTTGAGTTCCCTGAACTGTAAGGTAAGTAACTCGCTCCCAGCTGCTTTAAACCTTCTGTAGGGGACAAGCTACTGTTGTGCCTTGTGCTCGAAGCACCCTGTGCCATGGCTTGGAACTGTGAACATCGCCCAGCATACTTCAAGGAGTTGATGATCTGAAGTACAATGTGCCTAGGCCAAGTTCTCCTAGGAAAAAAATACTTCGTAGATGAGGGAGGAAATTAAAAGTCAGCTGCAAGCCTTCATTTAAAGAAAACTGTCCTAGAGGTACCCAAACAGTAGGAGAAACCCCTTACTCACTGAAACAACATTTCGACTACTTTCTTCATTCATTTATTCTATATATATATATTTATGGAGCCCCTACTCCATGGCAGACACTGTTCTAGGGACTAAGGATAGGCAATGAACACAACAACGTCTCTCTGCTCATGGAGCTCGTTATCTTTGTGCCAGACACTGTATTGGGGACACACAAATGAATGCGATCCAGCTCTTGTCTGTGAGGAGTTCAGAGTAAAGAGGGAGAGAGGAAAATGGCAATAAAATGTGGTATGGCCAGGGCTGTGGAGCTACCCATGACGTCTGAAGGTCAGGCAAGGTTTTCTAGAGAAAATAATCTCCAGGATGACTCCTGAAGGACGAAAAGGAGTTAATCAGTGGTCATTGTAGGCAGAGAGAACATCCTTTGCCAAGGCCCACAGAAGTGAGAAGAAATTGCAAGTGGCTCAGTGTGGCTGCATGACCAGATGGTGAATCTGGAGAGACCGATTGGGATCAGATGATGAAGGGTCTTGGAGACCGTGTTATGTAGTTTTGTACTTTATCCTGGGACCATTGGTGGCTATTGATCAATGTCAATCAAGGAGTGACATGAAAAGATTTCAATTGTAATACAGAGAATAGACTGGAAAAAGACAAGGTTGGCAGCAAGGAGAATGTTGCAGGACTAAACAGAGATGGGATGATGTGGCCTAAACAAAGACAGTGAAAATGGGTGGAAAAAAATTTGGCAGATTTGAGAAATATTATGGTAAGGGAGAGGGTGGAATAATAGTTGACTCCCAGTTTCTAGCGTGGGAAACCACACAGAAGATGATGTCAGTCACTAAGAGATGGAGGTGGAGAAGCAAATTCAGGATGAGGGACTGTGATTAGTTTAGTTTTGAGCATATTGAGCTTGTGGTGTCTATGGGACACTTAAGTGGAGGTGTTCAGTAGGCAGTTGGATATGTAGTCTGAAGATCAGGAGAGAGCAATGGACTGAAGTTATCCACATGTAGGTGGTCAAATCATGGGGCAGGATCCTGAAAACAGCACGTTGAAGCAGTGAGCACAGAAAGAGAAGACTGAGCAGGAACGGACAGAAGGCTAGTAGAGAAATAATGTGTCTAGTCACAGAAAAGAGAGTTGGAGAATGGGAAAGAGAGTTTTAAGAAGGATAAAGTCATCAATATCAAATACTGATAGAGGTCATCCATAACACGTACTGAAATTTGTCCAGTGGATGTAGCAACAGAAAGGTCATTCACTAGTAGGGTCATCTGTCTGGGTTTGTTTGGAACTGTCCCTGTTTATGCCTGTTGTTCCAGCATTATTATTATTATTAGCACCTCCTAGTGTCTAAATTTGGATAATAAATTATACAATCATCTTGGTCATTGGTTGGTGAGAGCAAAGATAGATTGCAGTGGTATAGGGATGAATTGGAAGAGGGAGACACTAAACAAGGCAACTTTTTGAAGGAGTATGGTGAGGCTATTAGAAAGGAAATTTTAACATCACATGGGCGTTGATCTAGATGGATTTTGAAGTTTTCTTCCAATCCTGGGAATAGTTCATAGTACTATTTTCCTTTACTATTCTAAGTCCTTATAATCAGTGAGAATCAAGACTCTGTTCTGTTTCTTGTTTTCATACATCGCAGAGCTAAATGCTATTTTCTTACAAATTATTTCACAAAGCCAACATTCTATAAATAAAATTTTTATTATTCCATTATCTTGAAAACAAATACCAATTACTTGAACTGTCCTTCATCTCTCCTCTTTTACAAAGACAATATAAAGCAGAAATATGTGAGTTGATTGTCTCCCTTAAGAAATTACTACTAGTCCTAAACTAAGCAGAAGAATCTTTTTAAATTATTCTGTATGATAAAGCATTACCAATAATAATTAGGTTGGGAGTAAATATTTTCCATCTTATTGCAGATACTGTTGACCTAGGAAAGCTAGGGAAAAAATACATGCCTCCAAGTTTATTTACAATGAGTATGTCTTCTGATATTTGGAATTTCCAGGTTAGACCAAACCAATGTCTGAGAGAGCTTAAACATTTATATATAAAATGAGAAAGATGCAAATATCATGGGTGTTTCTCTGTCTACCATTTAGGTAGAGAAATCTTAAGGGATGTGTCTGAGGGGATTAAAACACTCGATCATTATCATTAGTAAAATAATATCTCAAGACAACAGAAAAGTTACATAAAGCAAATGATTTTTAAGCCTGTATGGATATTGGATTAGGTAGAGAGGCAACCAAGAGTTTCAAGTCCCTTTGGCTTTCCTGCAGAAAGGTAACAAAGGCAAATAATACAACTGCTTGTAAATGTCCACACATGAGCATCCTTTCCCATTGCTGCTCAGTTTGATTATTAAAGGTCAAGTTTCCAGCCATAGCCTGTGCCCTCCCCAACTCCCACTGTTGTTTGTTCAATTATGAGTAATTAGGTACCTGTGAGGTTAGAATGGGGTGACCTTTAACAATCCCTTTTTATTGTTAAGTTGCAAACGGCTGCCTTAAAAAAAGGTGGGAGAGGGAGTATTCTGTGAAAGGTACTTCTACTTGAGAAGACAGGCTAATGGGAAGCAATAAATTGTACAGCAGCCATAATTTCTCTGCCATATCTAGTCTTGTGAATAGCTCCATAAAGCATGCTGTAACAGAAGGATCTTTCTTCTTACTGTTACTTAGGGTAATTAATAAAAGAGCAATCTGTTACTAATCTGACCATATACTATTACATTAACTATTCATTGTAACTAAAATGTTTCCAAACATATTTCAAATACTTGCATATGATGTATTCAAGTTGTCAGCAATAAGATTATGCTCAATATCCCATTTTAAGGATAATTTACCCTTTATTTTTTAGATACTTAATCTAATCAGACCCAGAGCATAATATAATACTTTTCTATCTAAATTCCAGTTAACTTGTCCAGACTTTCTTTGTATCATCTCTGTTTTGTTTCTCTGTGTGCATTCGTTTTGCAGTGAGCGGTGGCCTCGGCTTTGCTTCTCTTTTGGATGGCTACCACCACATAGGACCTGAATGTCCTACTGCTTCCCGGGAACAGAAAGAAGACCCTCTGTTTGTCTGTTTCAGTGGCTGCTTGGTAGTAAAAAACTGTTGAATGGGCCCCGATTTCAGCAGACCATCACGTGAATGGGACCAGTCCTTCTTTTTCCCAAATATCAGAAATTAAGCACTTGGAAGGGAGATTTGGCCAAGATGACCCATTTACAGGCTGGACTCAGTCCAGAGACTATAGAGAAAGCTCGCCTGGAACTGAATGAAAACCCAGATGTTTTACATCAGGATATTCAGCAAGTCAGGGACATGATCATTACCAGGCCTGACATTGGATTTTTACGTACAGATGATGCCTTCATCCTGAGATTTCTCCGAGCCAGGAAGTTTCACCAAGCAGATGCCTTTAGACTCCTGGCCCAGTACTTCCAGTACCGCCAGCTCAACCTGGACATGTTCAAAAACTTCAAGGCCGATGATCCTGGCATTAAGAGGGCTCTCATAGATGGGTTCCCCGGAGTGCTGGAAAACCGCGATCACTACGGCAGGAAGATCCTTCTGCTGTTTGCAGCCAACTGGGATCAGAGTAGGTAAATGTAGATAGTGTCTTTACTTGTTCTTTCTTTTTCATGAGCATAGTGACTGCATGTTTGGGGCTGTATGGCTTTATAGATAGTGGGTTTTCATTTAAAAAAATATATATATTATACATCCCACAAGGGAAGTTTTAAGGCCACAAGTTTACTGTTATCAAAAGGCAAGTCCAGATTCACAGCAGTGTTTTAGAACAACAGAATCATAGTGTTAGACCTTACAAGTCATTATTCTATTCATCAAAGTGAGTTGTTTATTTTAATAAAATTGAAAGCTAGTCTTCTGGAAGAACCATATATTCTGTCTTTAGTGTTCTCATCTTTAACAACAACAACAAAAATGGATTCAGTAGATGGCTTGAAATCAAGTGTTTTCAACACATAAAATAATTTCTTGGATCCTCTCCATGACTTTAATATCCTCTATTTCTTTTGAGTTCCAGATTTTTCTATCCAAATCCCTGCTAGACATCTCTCCCTGAAAGTCTATAAAGAACCACAAACTCAACATGTCCCAAACTAAATGTATCATCTTCCCCACTACACTTACTCTTGCATCTATCCCATCTCTTGAGCCAGAAATCTGGGTGTCATCCGACACTGCTCCTTGCCTTTGTCCCTCACATCCAATTAATTGCCAAGTCCTGCCCCTTTCTTCTTGAAAACCTCTCAAATCTCCTGCACTCCCCTTTGCTCCCACTGCGAATCCCTTAGTTTAGGTTCTCATCATTTCTCACCTGCATTGCTGCAACAGCCTCCTAAGTGGCATCCTGCCTCTGGTCTAGTCTCTTCAGGCCCACTGTAGTCTACACCATGGCCAGAGTGACCCTTCCAAAATTCTGTTACTTCACTCCCCTAATTAAAATTCTTCAATGACCTGCAAGGCCTTTAAAGTAAAGTGAGGCCCTTGATGATCTTACTTCTGCATCTCTGCTTTACCCTCTGCCCTTGTTTTTCTCTGGTCCAGCTGGTTGGAAGTACAAGCCTTGCCTTGAATAGCTGAGATTTTTACATGCCTCTAAGCCTTTGGACTTGTCCCATCAGACACCTAAAGGAGAGACCAACCACTTCTTATCCTAATTTCAACCATCCTGGATGCAATCTGCCTACTGATTCATACCTATCTTTATTGTTCTTCAGGAAGTTAGTCTTCATCTACCCTTCACTCCAACCCTTTTTAGTTAGGTGTCCCCCCTCTGTTCATATTTGCACTAAAGCATTTACAAAGGAGTGTAAGAACCACTGTTATCATAGCCAATATTTTTGAACACTCACCACATACTCTGCTAAGCATTTATATATATCATCTCATTTAACCCCCCAAGAACTTTGCATGACAGGTATTATTATTACCCATATCTTATATTTGATGACATAGGCTTTGAGAAGTTAAGTAATTCACTCAATGTCACACAACTAGTAAAATATGGAGTAGGAGTTGAGCCCTGGTAGTCTGACTTGAGAGCAAGTTGTCTTAACCCAGCTTTATTGTAACCATGTGTTTACTTGTATGCTCTTTCTTAATCCTCTTCCCAAGACTGCAAGTTCCTTGAGGGCACGAGACTGTCTTTTTCATGTTTGTCTCTTTGGCACGTGGCACTCTATCCAATAAATGCTGAGTGAGAAAGAATGAATGCAGCAGTCTCCAAAGCTTCACCTCTGGCTTGAGCTTTCACAGAGCTATCATCCTTGAAATTTTTGTGTTACTTGGAGAGACGTAGGTTGAAGTTAAAAAGTATGGTAAAGAACCCCTCCCCCAGTATCATTAAAAGGAATTTCTAGAGTGCCCCTTCACTACCTCCTGTCACTACTCCTTCTCTTAAAAATGATGATAGTGTAGGACATCTTAGTGACTACTGGCTATTTTCTGGTTAATGAATTGAGGCAGGGCAATCTAACCCTGAAAGGTATTTGAATGTTTTAACACTATCAGTCTAGAGTTTGGTCAAGTCTGCACCTGAGCCTGGGCTGCCTTTCCAAGCTTCTGCTCTGTTATTCCCTAAGCATTAATGATGAACCTCTCATTACAATGTTCTGCTGATGAGAAAGACTTGCAGGTCTTTACAATCACCCATCCATCATTCACTCAACAAACATTTGATGAGTATAGACTTTGTGCCAGGGCTTGTACTAAGGCACTGAGGACAATGATGAAAACACAAGGTCCCTGCCAGCAAAGAGCCTACTGTCCAGCAATTGTGCAAACACATAAACAGCTAACTTTTGTCTACCGTAGGAGAATTCTTTCTGAGACACACAAACCGTCAACACAGGGCATCAGTCTTAAACTAGAGGGAACAGCTGTCCTTTTGAGAATGGCACATTAACATTTTGGATTTGGGAACAGGAAAAAATTTTGATGATTCTGGAGAGTAATCATGCTGACTTCATTCGTGCATAGTTGTTGTAAGTGTTCTAGAACTTCCATCTGCTAAGATTGATTCATGGAACTCCAGTAAGTAGTGATTTACACATAAAGAAATAAATTATAACAAAATGTCTTATTTTGTGTTAGCATTTGGTATGCATATGTCTCAAAAAGAATTAAGAAGTAATAGCAAATAGTAATAGTAAGAAGAAACAAATCTCCAAGGGAATAATCCAAATGTTTATGATTATGTATCCTTGAACCAATTACCTCATGTCTCTGTTCCTCAGTTTCCTCATGTGTAAAATAGGAAGCTTGAACCAGGTAATCTATGAGATACATTCCAGCTCTAATGGGTCATGAATATGAAACTCATTCAGCCCAATCCTATTGATGGAAAGAGATTTTAAAATTCACTTTATAGGCTCCTAATTCACTAGGCTTTTTGAAGTAATATCTCTCTTCTCTTCCCCATCTCCCCCAAGGCTGGGTCTACTTGAGGCAATTTTTTTCAAACTGTACTATACTATTTGTTCCAAATATTTTGGTTTCAAAAAGAAGGTGAATGATAAGGCTATCCCATTGACAGCCAAAGATCATTAGAAGCAAACAAATCTCAGTTTGAACCCAGATATTGTCATGTGATTTACTGGTTATATGACCTGAGACAAGCAACCTCTCTGAGACTCGCTTTTCTCATCTGTAAGGTGGGGATAGTAACGATGTCTATCTGATAATATAGTTGGGAGGATTGAATAAAATAATGCATTTAAGGTACACAGCTCATTGTTTGGTACATGGTAAGCACTCAATAAATATTGGCTTCTAGTATTATCACTAATATTATAAAACATCCCACTACAAAAATAATAGGGCACAGATGGTAAATAAATTAAAGGAGAGGCAGAAGTAGAATATTTGAAAATAGAGGTGGGCTGATGGGTGCGATCTGCCTCCATGCCTGTCCTTGGCACTTGTTTGTTTTCTCCCGAAACATGTTCCCTGTCACATAGACCCAGCCTAAATGGGGCCCGAAGGACCTGGAAGAGTTGGCACGGCTTTGCAAAGTGATTACTTCCCTCTCGTTGGGAGCCTGAGATGACTGGGAAGTGATTTGAATGTCTCATGTGAAAGGTTTACTGAGATTAAAATGGTTATTAATATTTATTAAGACTATGTAAATCTCATTCATCTAGACCCAGACACCATGAACAAAAGCACAGAACAGTGAGCGATGGGAAGCACTGTCCTCCAGAGGTGCATGTAGGGCTCTCTCTGCTGGGGTTAGGGGTGTCAGCCGAGGCACAGAAGTGCTCCAGGCTATGGGAGCAGAAACCGGCCTCCTCCAGAGATGGGGCCTGAGCAGAGCTGTCTGACGTCTGGATTTTCTGAGGCAGCCAGGCTGAACTGAAATGAGTTAGAGTAAATCAGCACCCACATATTCATTCATAAAATGCAGCTGGCCCTTTCAGGGTCAGGAGAGTTCACATTTCAGCTCACCAGCTTGCTATGTAATGGAGACCTAAGGGGACACTATTGCTGGATGAGCCTTTTGATCTTTCTCACCTACCCTCATATTGGCATTGGCAAGAATTCACAATTTGCCCCTGAAGATCTGATACAAAAGAAATCTATTTCTTATTTCTTTCTGAGTTGCATTTTTGCATCTTGTCCTACAGCCTGATTTGTCCGTGCATGCCCTTCCCATGGAGAAGGAACTGTGAGCATAGAGGAGCATGTCTATTTTTTCTAGATTTCACTCAGTTACAAAAAGAGTTAAACTTGGTCAAGTTATTTCACTTTTTGGAGTCTCCTCTTCCTCAAGTGGAAATGGGTATAATATCTGGCACGTGGAGCTGTTGCAAGGATCAACCCCAATTGCCCTACTTGTTGGTGTCCAAGATGCAGAATAGAACAGTGATTAAATGCACAAACTCTGAAGCCAGATGACCGGCTTCAAATGCAAGCTGCCTCCTGACCAGCTATGTGATTCTGAGCAAGTTGCTTAAATTCTTATTACCCTCAGTTTCTCGCCTGTAAAATGGGGGTGACAATGATCATAGGTTAGCACTAGTTAGTGTTCAATAAATGACAGTTGTTTCTTAAGAAAAAACTCAAATCAGGCAAATATTGAGGCTACTGGGTCACAAGATGTACTTTCTCAGGACAGCGGGATTTGATGCCATTACCAACTTTCCCCCACCTGGAAAACTATAAAAAATGCAAGTGAGACCCCAAGTCACCGTGCTCCAAAGGCCTCTACGGTAGCTCAATTGTGGCTGGGAGGCTCTGAGAAATCATTTGGTCTTAGTGCCCCTACCTATTGTGTTTATTATATTCTCAGGATATAAGAAAAGCATTTGGGTGTCTAGATAATAAAAGCCCCACAATAGACCCCAATAGTATCCATCAGTGCCATGTATAGATCAGCTGGTCCTGAGTACTTTAATGGGAGGAAATAATTGGAAATGCCTGGCAAATCATAATATATAAAATTACACTGGACATTTTTTGTCAGTGTATTGTTCGCTTCTCACAATTAAAAGCTCAGAATCAGCAGCTAGGTTGAAAATTAGTTGAAAAGTTGGTTCTTAAAGGCAGCTGAGGCACTCTAAAGAAGAGCTAAGTT